GGGGGGGCTCTAGGTGTCCTGCTGGTTCCTGGTACATCACTGACCCAGACCAGCTCAGCTAGAGTTGCCTGTACCCTATGGAGAGAAGAGACTTTGCAGAGGTGGAGGAAAAGCCTTATTAAATGATGCACTCAGGAGCCTAGAAAGTGACTTTGGCTTCTGCCCCCAGAGAGCCAATCCAGGTACGTAGCTTTTCTCTCTGTTGACATTGCAAATGGCGGATGAACTATGCTGGAGTCCAAGTGTTGGGATGGGCAGAGCGAGTGGGCTGTGTCTCCCTTTCAGTGACTGTTGTGACAGTTCTGTGGATGGGGCTGATCCTAGAGATATATAGAAACTCAGAACAATTGATGATCACCTGTCATGGTTTCCTAGACCCACACAGACAGGACAAGTCAGGGCGAGGCATGAATTTGTTTATGTTCATCAGTCTAGGAAGATTGGTGCAGTGCATTTGCATATGTAAAGCACTTAACACAGTGATGGGTCAGTAATGGGCAGGACCCCATCTTGGCCAAGACAACACAGATGTATATAACCCTTGCCCTCTCCTTAACCATAAACATCACATCAGGGCCCCAAAGATGGAGTTGGAGGTCACTGGATCTCTTCGTTCCTCTTCCAAAAGTGGCACATTAAATGCCCATCCCCTTCTCACTGTTGGTAGATTGAGGATGAGCAGCCAAGCCTAGCTTTTAGTAGTTACGAGGACCCTGCCTCTGACCCTAACAACTCCACTAACAAAGGGACATTGTAAAACACTGCTTCAGTTTCGTTGGCTCCAAAGTTGGAGTGGGGTAGGCAGGGTGTGATGCGAGTCTCAGTTAAAATCTTAATGGTTCATTCTCTGTAGTCAAGGAACACACTGACTTTTGTAAAAGACTTCTAGGTCATATCAACCTCAGCCTGTTTCGTGAGTTTAGACTGCATCAATGAACTCACCCAGTTGGTCAGCCTGAGCGTGCGCTCCTTTCTCTGATAAACAAATAAACAGGGCTGAAACCAGATTCCAAAGGCTTCCCCAAAGGGAGTAGCCATGCGGGCTGCTTTTCATTCTTTTGGTGTATTTAAATACATCAGATGCAGCCATGAGCTCAAAAATACACAGAAGCACTAGTGATGGAGACGAAAACTGTGATAACAGCCTACAGCACACAGCTGCCAGTCAGGCTATTAAGCACTTCCCTTCCTTCTGCCCATTTGTCACTCTCTGTGGAGGGACAGACGTGTCTCTGTTCTTTGAAACCATGACATTGCTCGTGATGAGCCTTGTCTAGATCTTGTGTTTCATCTCTATTTGCCCCTGGCATGGTTTTCCAGCTCGGTACTCGGGGGGCAGATGAGAGCCTTAGGGAACCCTCTGCCCCTCTTCTCTGTCCTTAGGAACGGTATATGGCTGAGAGACTGGGGGGATGGGGGGTGGGACCAGACCGCAGTTCAGGGCCTTCCACAGCCCAATGAGCAGTTGTGTCAGGTAACAGCTGAGGAAGGGCAGGGACAGCTTGATTACCCAGAATGTTCTGTGAGGGCACTGCAGGGGCAAGAAGGAAAACTGGCTGGAGTGGCTGAGAGTGGGCGGGGCCCTTCCGTGTTAGGGAAAAGCATGCAGTATTTTGAAGGCGATGCTCAAGCTGTCCAGGCTGAAAGTGGAATAAACAGGACTGAGACCAGTTTCCAGAGGTTTCCTGGAAGGGAGCAGCCTAGTGATTTAATGCCCCATTAAATTTTTCTGGCACAAATATGTCCCAAAGAGCACATGGAACACACTTAAATTTATACTAAATTTACTTTTTTTTTTTTAATTAATAATTTTATAACACACAGGGTGTTTTTCAGGTTTTTTTTTTTTTTTTTTTTTTCATTGTCTGGTGGGAGAGAATCGTTCACACCACAAAAAACAGGACCAGCCCAGTCTCCTTCAGTATAGCTCCTGGCTCTTAACTGGTTAATCTAAAAAGTAGCCCAGCCTGTTGACAACAGTAAACACTCTGGTTAAAAGACTGGCAGGATGCCATTGAAGATTTGTACATTGTAAGAATGAGGAGCTACAAGGCAGACCAAATTCCAACATGGAGAGGGGAGGTGGACCGGAAGTCCTACCCCCAGCCAACGTACTGTTGGTAACTGACAGCTGCTAGGAGACTGAGAGTCAGTTTTCTGGTAAGCTGGCCACACTCCAGCAGAAAGCCACACACAATGGGCAACAGGAATTGGACTTGAAGGGTGAAGAAGTTTTTAAAAAAAGGGCATACAGCTGGTTGGGTAGGGAAGGGGTGGATCTAGGAGGAGCTGGGGGAGAGTATGAATCTGATCAAAGGCACTGCACAGAATTCTCAGAGATCTAATAAAAACATTAAAAACCGTATAAAGAGCCACAGAGCATGCAACTTATCCACGTCCGCCCTGTCCACAAGGGCTCTCTTGTTTAAAAGAATGTGTACAACTCTTAAAACAAAGTTTCTTGAAGATAGATAATGGCCTCTTTCGATCATGTGACAGCTAGTCTGAGCTCACAGATGTCACATGAACTCTCCGATCTCTCCCACAAAGCCTGGATGTCTCATCTCATCTCTAGTGTTTCTGGGAGTGCCCAGCCTTTGGTTGGGACTACCTTACCCAGTGGGCACAGGAAGGTGGACTAGTCTATTGGTAAGACGGACAGCCCAGATGGCTTGGCACGTGCCTTGGAGGTGTGTCAGACTACTGCGGGGGCAGATCCCACCTGTCACACTCTCCACACTCAACTGTGTGTCACTGACAGAGCATGGAGGGGTCCTGGGCCTCGTACTCCTGTCCAGCGTGGGACTCTCACCATGAGCCATCTGTACTGCAGCATTCCCCTGCTTCTGTCAGCACCAGCCTCAGGCCAAGCTCTTCTTTCCTCCCTCCCTCCCTTCCTTCTTCCCTCTCTCCTTTTTTCCTTCTCTCTATCTCCCTTTCTCTCACCCAACCCCCAACAATAACCTCTCACTGAGGCCTCAACACTCATTTCCAGCTGCCATTCCTTTGCCATTCACAGGATTCCCCCACCCCCCATCTCCCGTGTGTTCCTTCTGTTTGGTGTGTGCTTCTTGCAGAATCCAAATTTGCCACCACACCAGGACACGCTTTTTATATAACCGTTCGCTTTTCACTGGATTCCTTTCTAAACTCATGGCACTTAGCCTCACCCTGAGCAATAATCTGCTTTCAAAAAAGGTGAGTGTGTGTGTATGTGCGTGTGTGTGTGTGTGTGTGTGTGTGTGCATGTGTGTGTGTGTGCCCACAGAAGCCAGAGGCGTCAGGTCCTCTGGAGTCAAGAGTTACAGGCAGTTGTGAGCCCTCCACTATGGGTACTGGAAAGGAACCTGGGTCCTCCGCAAGAGCTGTACTGGCTCTGAACTATCTCTACAGGCTGCAAAATTCTATGTTGATCTCAAGTTTAATATGTTAATATTCTTTGAATATATGTGTAATTTTTTTTTTCTTAAGACCAGGTCTCTCTATTTAGTCCTGCTATCCTGGAATTCGCCGTGTAGACCAGGCTAGCCTCAAAATCACAGAGATCCTTTTGCCTGAGTGGCGGGATTAAAAGCATGTACCACCAAGTCTGGCTGAATATATGTATAAATATCATATGTACTTGTATATATGGTCTCTAGCTATATAGATGATATGTGTAATACACATAAGTCTCATATATGCATGAATATGAAGTTATTCTTTAAATGTGAAATTCAAATATGGGTCACTGAGGTCATCTCCTGTGCCACAAATATGTGCATGTAAATCATTTGGAAATTGTTTCCTCCATTATACTGTTGAAAGTACAATGTAGAAAGAGGATTGGAACAGTATCAGTTGACAAGTTCCAATGTGTTTATGGTTGGAGTCAGTGTCCTGGAAAGAATCTAGAAGAAAAACTTTCTGCACACCAAGAAATAAACCAGTTTGGGACTGGTAGGAGATGAGGGAAGGGGCCACAATCAGGATGTGTGATGTGAAGTGAATAAATCATTAAAAATTTTTAAATAAAAAAGAAATAAACCAGAAAGTAGCCCGAAGGTGCAGTGGGGTTTGCTCTGCACTGATGCAAAACCTCAGCCCCGCCACCGTTTCTGTGCGTGGCGCTCCTCCGCCAGCTTTGTCGTAGGCCACAGACCAATACCGCCTGCTGGTGAGATGGTGGACACCCTCATGTTCTAAAATGGGATCAAGAACGGGCTCAGAAGGTTGTATCTGGATGGGGAGGGGTGAAGACGGAGAGTGTGTCCTCTCCTTAGGGAGGGTGTGTGCCGAGGAAGCCTTGGTTACCAAGCGTCACAGGGGGGTGATCGCCACGCACACCACTGCCTTCTGTCACTAACCCAAGTCATTCATAGAACGAAACTGTCACCTGCTCATCTCCACTTACCCCCAGAAAGCACCTATGTACAGCACGAAGGGTGGCTCATTCCGCCCAGAAGTACATTAAGAGTTATCACCTCAACGGCAGGTTGAATCACGGAGGAAGAGAATAACCTCTGAGAATCATCACCATCCGTTGGCTCGCCGGAAATCATCCCCGAGTCACCGCAGGCCCAAGGGCCCAGCAAGCACCTCGTCAACAGACTCACCTTCTTCCAGAACAGTTTTCCCAGAGGGGAGGATGTGGGCCCCGACTTCTCCTTGCCGCCTTCCTTTGTTGTGTCACTGGCCTTGGTAGGTGGCACAGGACCGGATGGGCTGCAGCTTTTTGAACTCTTGCTCGCCCCTTGGGTCTCCTGGGGCGCGAAGCTGACTTTGTCTGACTTGACATTGGCTGAAGTAGCGGGTGAATTTTCAGTATCCTATAAAGTTTTGTTTTATAAAAGTGAAAAATTAAAAATAATTTCATGGTTTCAAAAGTAAAAGATTCTGTTAAAGTAAGCATGGGCTAGGGTCATGCATGATGTTATTTAAAATTTTTTTTCTTTATGAGAATTTTTACTGTAAATGTAGCTTTATGTTAAAATCTCCCCCCCCCCCCAATATCTTCCTTTTGGGAAGGAAAAAAGAGGAGACGTGTTAGTAACGATGCTTCTGTAAGTCACTTAGGCGGGGAGGTTTCGTGGGGAGGTGGTGGTGTTAGAAAGTGGAGTTCTGGGCGGCCTCTCAGCTCAGTGGGTAAAGGAACTTGCCTCCAAGCCTGATGACTGAGTTCAGTCCCTAGAACCCTCATAGTGGAAAGAGAGAACTAGCTTCTGCAAGTGTCCTCTGATCTGCACAGGGGTACTATGGCTTACATGTGTCTGCACACACCCACACACACCAATCAACCAGCCGGTCAACGTAAAAAGAAAGAAAATAAGGAAGGAAGGGAGGAGGGGAGAGAGAGACAGAAAGAGAGAGAATATTCTTACCAAGGCCCTTTGTCTTTAGGTAGTTTTGACCAGACTTTCCTTCTGGACATATTCTGAGTATGCGCACAGTCATGCAGGCCGGCTCGTGTCTTTTTTAATAAACACAATTACTTTACCAAGCCAAATTGGAAATTAAGGAAGGGTGGAGAAAATATGACAGCCCAAGGAGTTCTGAAATTTTTCTCCCACATCCCACTCTGGAGATCCAGGCCATGGAGAAGGCAGAGAGGGGGCTGAAAGCTGGTGAAGATCCACAGGCTCACTCCTACACTCTTACACACCACTCCCACACCCCGGCACAATCTCTTCAAAGGGAAACCGTTTGCTCCTGCTTCCTCGGAATCCCCACCCCACCCCTTTTCACCTTCCTCCCTACAGCTGTGTTCAAGCCCAGTTCCAAGGTATCTGATGTGTTTCTTCCCTTCCTCCTGCCTCTTTCTTTTCTCTTTCTTTTCCCTTCTATTTTTTTTTTTCTTCTCTCTCCCTACCCTCAAAGGGCCTCTTGTAGCTCAGGCTGGCCTTGGCTCCCTATGTAGTCAAGGATGACCTTAAACCTTTGATCCTTTTGATCCTTCTGCGTCTACAACCACCATCAAAAGTGCTGGGAATACAGCTTTGTACCAATATATATTTTTTTCCCTCCAGTGAATTACTATTAATTCCTAGTCTTTGCTTCCCTTACATCACTGGATAAAGACACATAAAGCCCAAATATACCCAGACATGACTGAATATTGACATTCAAGTTTTAGCATCAGGTTCTTCTGTACTGACTTCATTATTGCAAGCATCTTCACATTTTATGACTTTTGCTGTCCAGACTTAGAGACTGGGCCCCTTTAAATTCCCAGACAATTTCTGACTAAAAGAAGACTATCTGACAGTAGAAATGGGATTTAGGCAAGTTCAGGAAATTTCAAAATATTTTTGGGTTCTGTGTTCTCTTTGGTTGTTTTTGTTTGTTTGTTTGTTTGTTTGATAGAAGGTCTTTCTATGTGGCTATGATCGGGCTAGAAGCAGGCATCCTTCTGCCTCAGCCTCCAGAGTGCTGGGATTACAGGTACGCACCGTGACACTGTAAATGAAGTCTTAAGAACCATCTTCCCAATGCTTGCATTTTCAGACAAGGAAACTGGGGCTTGTTATTTGCCTCACTCATTAAGAGGGTGGAGAATGAGCAAGTGGGAGAAAGAGAGAGAGAGAGACCAGATCCTACCTTGATTCATCCTGCCAGATCCATCCACTCCTTGATTCCTGGGACAGAGCCCCAGTGAAGCTTCTCTGCATTCCCTCCCTGCCAGCCCTTCTCATCACTTTTCCCCCAAAATGGTATTCTGCCACTACCAGATACTTTAACACCCTTTCTCCGGATTCAGTAGGAGACAGTAAAGATTGCAGCCTGGCTCAGGGGCAAGCCGTTCTAGAGGGTTATCAGATTGCAATTGAAAATGACAATACAGGAAAGATAGCTCATTGGTCAGGAGAGCATCCTGCTCTTGAAATGGATCTGAGTTTGGTTCCCAGTATCCACTTGAGACAGCGCAAAACCACCTGTCACTCCAGCTTCAGGGGACGTGATGCCCTCTCCTGGACTCCTCAGGCACCTGCACCCACACATGTACATACCCACACAGACACACCCACACATATCCACACACACTAATGTAATTTTTAAAAAAGGAATACCCCATTAAATTTGAATTTCAAATCAGCAAATAATAACTCTTCTAGCATGGGTATTTTCCAAATATTGCATGGAATATACTTAAATTGATGCTAACGGTACTTCTTTTATATTAATCATTTTAAGTTACTGTATAAAGAATGGCTTTCATGGCAACATAAAGTTATTTCTTGTATATCTGAAGTCTGACTTTCACTCTGCATGCTATATTTTACTTGGTGACCCTAACTTTGGGACTCTCTAATGGCTCTGGGGACTACCTTCTTAAAAAGTCACCCCCTTGTCTTTATCTTGGGATACAAGGGGGCTCAATAAGGTACAGACATCAGATCAAGATCCCCAAACAATGGATATGTGGGAAGCTGAGGAGTCCCGAGGACTGGCTTCTAAAAACAAAACAAACAAACAAACAAACAAACCCTGCAGCTGCCTCACTGAGAGGGGGACGCTGGCCAAACCTTTAAAAATAATGCCTGACCTCAGGTACGGATGTGTCGTTACTGAACACTGGAAGACACAGGACAAAGTTTGACCCCAAGAGACAAAGATTCAGGGTTAGGAGGGGAAAGTGATGGTCTTGCTTCCTCCAACAGTAACCTGGGTGGGGCTGGAGCTCAGAGGTAGAGCACTTGCCTTGCATGGAGGATCAGCCCCTAGGTTCATCCCCAGAGCTTATTGCATTGCTTAATTCTAGTCTTCCTTGTTTAAAAATAGTACATTTCTTAGTAAGGGTTTCTATTGCTGCAATGAAACACCATAAGCAAAGAGCAAGCTGGGAAGGAAAGAGTTTATTTGGCTTACACTACCGTATTGCTGTTCATCATGGAAGGAAGTCAGGACAGGAACTCACACAGGGCAGGAACCTGGAGGCAGGAGCTGATGCAGAGGCCTTGGAGGGGCGCTGGTCACTGGCTTGCTTCATATGGCTTGCTCAGCCTGCTTTCTTACAGAACCCAGGACCACCAGCCCAGGGATGGCCCCTCCCACAAGGGGCAGGGCTATCTCACATCAATCACTACGAAAATGCATTACAACTGGATCTGATGGAGGCTTTTTTTTTTTTCCAGTTAAGGTTCTTCTTTTTCAGATAACTCTAGTTTGTGTCAAGACTAGCCAGCACAATACATTATTTTTATTTATGTGTGTGAATGCATGTGTGCAGTGTGAGTTAGTTTACACAGAAGCCAGAGGAAGGTATCAAATCCTCTGGAGCTGGAGTTACAGGCGGTTATAAATTGCCTGATGTGGGTGCTGGTAAAAAAAATCTGATCCTTTAAAATAGCAGCAAGTATTCTGAACTGCTGGACCATCTCTCTAGCTCCCTCATTTAAATTTTTTAACTAAGACACTCTACTTTTTTTTTTTTTTAATATGTGCTTTTAAGAAAGGATCTAACAAGCTGGGTGTTGGTGGCTCACACCTTTAATCCCAGCACTTGGGAGGCAGAGGCAGGAGATTCTCTGTGAGTTGGAGGCCAGCCTGGTCTACAAGGTGAATTCCAGGTCAGCCAAGGCCACACAGAGAAACACTGTCTCAAAACAACAACAGCAACAAAGAGGTGGGGAGGGAGGTGTCTTACTGTAGCCATGCCTACTCGATACGCAGCTCAGGCTGGCTTCAGATTTGTAATGTAGCCAAGGGAGATCAAATATTATAATGCACTAGCAAACTTCGTTCAACTTTGAACTGTTTAAATATCCCCTTTCTGACCTAGAGGACAGCCTAGAGGTGAACCTGAGGGGATGAATGTCTCCTACAGCTGAGACGGAGCACTGGATAAGATCTGGTTCATCATTTCAACAACCCTGTTTTGTTTTGATTATTCTTAGGACAACAGAATAATCAAGAGAAGAAAGAAACAGTTCTCGACACAGAGGTAAAACTCAATGTAGCAAACTGCTTTATAAATGAGAACTGGGAACATTTGGGCTTGCCCCTCTATTTTAAATTACATCTGCAGGGAGAACACATCGAATGTCAACCAAGGCACAACCCTGAAGCTTGTGTGTCTGTGTGGTGGAATTTTGGTTTCTTAAAAAACAAAAACAAAAACAAACAAACAAACAAACAAAAACACACAGAAATATTATAAGGACATGTTTTCATTTTAATCCCAGCGGTGGGGATAAGGGGCCGCTTCCGATTGTCCAAAGCAGCTGATTATGATTTGCCTGGTGCTCTAGAATAGCTGTGGTTTTGCCAGCTTCAGATAGTTTCTGTGATTGTGTGATGTTTGGAATTCTGGGAATATAAATGCTAGGGCCCTGCGAGGTAGGGTCGGTGCTGGTGTTGGGGCATTGGTTATAGTTTGTTAGTAGTCATGCTTTAAAGAGAAGCAAGAAGAAAGAATCTGGATCGAAGAATCTCTCTCTCTCTCTCTTCCCCTCACTCCTTTCTCCCCTCTCCCTCTCCAATATTCTTTTCTCTCTCTAGTGATAGGGGTTGAGACTGTGGGGCAGAGGAATAAAGGGTAGAAGGGAGAAAGAAGAACTCACAAAGTAGAAACATCCACTACATGTCTGGGTTATAGAATACCGGAAGAGGGCACTTCTTTTAGTTTAAGAGTCCAGATCCCATCCCTCTCTCAAATGTGCCTCATCGGCAGGGTAAGAGCCACCAATGTTGGGAAGCTGTAGCTATAACATGCACCCTGGGCGGGCTGGTCATGGTGGGAAGAGATACTGCAGATGTAAAATTTGTGATCCACGAAATGAATAGCATGACACGGGACAGATGTGGGATGGAGGGAGTCACACATTTCTACAGACACTTCTCAGACATTCAAGACGTCCCATCCTCATGGAACCCCCAAGTGGGAGGAAGGCCAGATTCCTTTGCATGAAGTTCTATCATGTGTCTCATGAACTGCCACTAGACTGTGTCCCACATATCCAACTGGCCATAGACATTATTGCTTGTGTATTTATTACTTGTGAGACAGGGTCTTGCTGTGTATGCCTACCTATCCTGGAATGTGATAAATAGCCCAGGCTGGTTTCAAACTTGGGTGATCCTCTTGGCTCTGTTTCCTAGGGTTCTGGGATTATAGGCATGTACTAATATGTCCACCTGCCTGTGCTACTTTTTAATGATTTTTTTTTTTAAATTATGCATCTGTGTGCAAGCACAGGTGCACACTTGAGTACAGTGCCTTCAAAGGTCAGAAGAGGGTATTGGGTCCCCTGGAGATGAAGCCAAAGGCAGCTGTGAGCTGTGAATGCTGGGACCTGAACTTTGACCCTCTGAAAGAGCAGCAAATGCTCTTAACCACCGAGCCATCTCTCCAGACTCAGAGACCACCTTTTAGTGTTCTTTTCTTATTTCAATATCTATCTTTCTCCCTTTGCAGGACAAAATAAGCCTCTATGGAAATTAAAAGTGACCCCGTGTTATTTGTGTATGCAAATATGTGGGCATGCTACTGAGAGTTTCATTTGCATGCACAATCCTGGGGCTTCAGAATGGAGCTGGGGGAAAAAAAATTTAAAACAGGTTCACTAAATTTGGTGGACAATGGTTAACACTGAAAAAAGAAATTTCAAGCATTTGGCCCCAACTCAGAGATCCTTTGACTTGGCAGTTTTTGGCATGTGCTCTGTCTTCCTTCCTGTATGAAGAGCTTGTCTCCAAAGCTGAGCTCATGTCATCCAATGCCATTGTCTCTGCTTTCATTCACCACTTTCTTCTGCCTGGTGTCTAGGTGGGTCAGTATAGACTCAGTCAACAGAGAGAGCAGGTAAGGTGGATGACAGCAAGGAAATATTGTTATCTTGAGGTTAGAAGAGAATTTCCCAAAGAGCAGGTGGCATACTGCAACTTGACAGGCTGGATACGAGGCAAAACTCAAATAGCATACTTTTCCTCTTCTGACTTTCAAATCATTTATTAACCTTCTGCGGAAAAGCTCAGGCTGCTGCCGGGATGGCTCTACTAGTCTCTGCCGGCCAATTCCTTCCTAGTAAAAGCCTGGAGGATGCTGGATTCAAAGCTCTATAGAAATGAGCAAGAACTCTACTTTTAATTAGTCACATTAATGGTCATTTTTCTGTTAGGAAAAATGATTCCAGGTTTCCACAGATGGAAGAATATAAAGTTTTTTTTTTTTTAATGGAGACACATATAAATAGGAATATTCTATTTTAGTTAGAAATATCAAGTGATTATAGTATACTTAAGTAAAGTGGTGAAGATGTATGCCAACAACTGACATTTGGGAAACCCTGGGTGAGAATTTCAGAACCCTGGTCCACACTTGGAAGGAGCCAATCTTATGTTTACAGCTATGGGGACTTAAATGCCCGAAGTTCAGGCCTCAGCATCTTTTGATTCCCCCTCATTGATCACAGCCACCCGAGGCTGGGGAGCCCCTGATGCAGAGCTGGTAGACACCAGAGTGAAGAACAGGGTCCTTTTTCCTCCTAGTACCAGAAGATACAGACCTTATGCCTAAAGAACTTTCTAAAGGTGAGTCCTAGCCTGGGGCTGTCCAGGCGTTTCTTCTTGCTTTTAGCCTGCATCTCCATCTTCGGGCCAACGTGTCCATCACAGACACTGTCTGCCTTGGCTGCCTTCTGGACAACAGCAGGCACAGCTTAGAGAGCTGCTTTTAAACAAACCCACTTGTCTTTTCTGTTTCAAAGTCTATTCAGACGCTGTGACAATGTGTCACCCACATCTCTCAACCACAAAGCATCATGGGAATACTTACCGTTTTAAAGTTCTCAGAAAATGATTCACTAAACAGTATATTCGCGGCCAATCTCAGGTACACGTGTTTTTTTTTGTTTGTTTGTTTTTTTGTTGTTTTTTTTTTTTTTTTTTTAACAGGGCCACTTATATACATGATCCAAACAACACATCTCAGAACCCCACCCCCAAGTCAACCAAAACCACTCCATTTATCCCAACTTGCTTTAGACAGCAACTGGCCATTTAAACTGTGACTACGTGATTTAAAATATTTAATGAAACCTAACCAAATCCAACAAGATAACACCAGAGTCTTGGCTAAGAGCTTTAAATATGTAAATGCCACTGTCACCTGGGAAAGAAAAAAATAAATAAATAAACCACTTGCTGACAACTGATGCTTTTTATGTCTTGGTACTGTTTTCTCAGCTAAATGTTACCACCAAACTTCTCAGACCAATTTCTTTCGAATGTGTATTTGAACCTTCGTGGAAGTAATATCACCCACAAACACTTCTACAGGGGCAGATTTCCCAGACAAGGAAGTTTCTGGTGTGAACCAATTCATTGAGCCAAAATGGGAGGGGCCAGGAATCAAAATAACTCATCTACAGTCACTACAAACTGTTGACTCAAGTTACAAATGCTGTGAGGTTTTCCATGAAGCATGTAGTGCGTTAGCAATCACCCAGACAGTTGGAGAGGTAGCTCAGTGGTTCAGACCACTGGCTGCTCTTCCAGAGGACCCAGGTTCAGTTCCCAGCACCCACATGGCAGCCTTCAACCTCCTGTAACTTCTGTTCCAGGGCATCACATGGCTTCTTCTGACCTCCAAGGGCACTGCATGCTTGTGGTACATGCACATACATGTAGGCAAAACACCCATACATGTAAAATAAATACATAAAAATAAGGACTCAGAGCCAAGTGGGACAGAGAAAAAAAAAAAGATACCCCAAAGACAAATCCAGAACAAGAGAGGCTGTTTCCTGGGCATTACAAACAACCTATTCCATAATCTCTCATCTAAAATCCAGACCCACAATAGGGACTTCTCAGCCCTCTGGGTGGGACAAAGAGACTTTGTCAACAAGGTATGCCCAATGGGGACCACATCTGCATTGTGGCTGGGTCTTAGTGCATGGACCAGCTAAATAGAAAGAGTGCATCAGGTCAGTTGGGAAGCCACCCAAAAGCCCACATCCTCCACTCCTGACAGCCCAATGTGCTGAGTACGGAGCTTCAAGAACTGAACAACACAGAAACAAAAGAGAAACATTTTGACCAGACCATTCATTGAATTTGACCTTAGCTGCCTCACAGCAAGTGAGTAAGTTTAAAGACTCTATTTTTCAACAGGAGAAGAAAACGCTTGAAGAATTGATCAGTCCACCATGTAATTTTGGAAATAGGGTGGACTACGTTCCAACAGAGCTCAACAGTTTGCAAGCATTGAGGCCCCTTCCTCATCCCTGGGTCTGTAGACAGAACAGTCTTTATTGGGCCAGTTTTACAGACTGGAGACTTGGGTTCGGGTAAGTTAGGATCACGCTGACACCACGTCAAAGACCTGGAGCTCAAACACAAGCTTTCTGGGGTAAAATAAAGGGTCTCCACCACACAACTTAACTCCTTCAAACCTAAGCCATAGATGGGGTGTGGGGGGGGGAGTTGGATAAGCCATTCATTGTATTCCTGTCCTTGCCAAAGCATTTCCAGTAGACACTCATCTCTCTCCAGCTTAAACTGTCTCACGGTTTCCATGTAATTTAAACCACATGCTCCGTTACAGGCCATCAGTCCTGTCACATGGAAGGAAAAGCATCTGTAAAAAGGTGGTTATTTCAACCCAAGTTTACTTGGAGAAGAATGGTTTACACTGTAGCCTGAAATCCTCCACCTGGCCTTTTCCACAGCAGGTATTTTTGTGGCAACTGTTTTAGTTCAGCACTGTTTTGTAGTAGAGATCTATTTTTCAAATTATGTGGGAAAGGAAAGCACATTAACACTCCCCGTTCTAGAGTGTGTGCCTTCCACTTCGGAGAAAGTCTTATAAGAAAAAAGCCCAACAACCTATATTTCCTCGTTTTTTTTCTAAGCGCAATGAAAAAAGACAATAATGGTATAGTTATTAGTTAATATTGTATACTTAACAATTGGGTATTGAGACATTCTTTAGCCAGAACTAGTATATCATCTTTCAAGTGTCCCACTTTTCTCCTCCTTCTCCACATCCTCCTCCTCCTCCTCCTCTCCCTCCTCCTCTTCCTTCTTCAAGACGGGGTCTCACTATGTAGCCCTGGCTGGCCTGCAATTCACTATGTAGACCAGCTTCCCTCAAACTCACAAAGATCCACCCGCTTGAGTGCTGAGATTAAAGGTGTGTGTCACTAAACATGGCTTAAATTTTTATTAAACTACCATTAACCAGGGCAGGGGATTATAACTAAGTTGCTTGCCTATCAGGCAAGAGGCCCCGGATCTAATCCCAGACACTGCAGAATCAAAGCAAGTGAAACAACAGTCTTAACCTAAAATGCTTTAAACACAATCCACCAGCATTACTGAATTTCTGAAAAGATTCATACATGTGCTTCTGTAACACATGCTACTCATCATATGTACATCATCCAAGACACACACACAAACTGAAACCCAATTCCTTGCGTAAGCCCAGACATATATACACCTCAGGATGCCTACCGTGTTTTCTGGATCCTTTTTTGTTTCAGTTTTGTTAGGCGAAACCTGAAAAGTTAGAGAAACGCAAATGTTGAAAAGCATGGTTCTTGAGGGTGACTCTTATTTCATAGAGACGTGACTTTTATTTTGTAGAGTCATGACTTTTACTTCACAGAGTCATAATTCTTCAGGGAGGTCTAGTTTATTGGACCAAAAAGTGGGAGAGGAAAAACACCTTTGACTGAGTAGAGACCTGAGCACCTCTAGGTAATAAACAGTTCAGAAAATCAGTATTATTCTGAAATGTATCGGATCTCACATATCCACCAAGAATTTAACTACACTTAAAGTCGCCTCCCAGAAAGCCCCAGGTGTCCCATCGGTCCCTAGGATCCTCAGTCCAAACACACTACCTGTGACACATCCTGTCTCTCTATATATTTTTTTCATTTTACCTTTTGAAGTCAGCCTGATATTTGCGTACAACCCAAACACATCCGGGGCCAGTTACTGATGTATTCTATCACACCTCAGCTCAGCTCATACCCCTCAGCTAAGAGCCACCCACCCCCTTGCTGTTTCATGGCTCCCCACTCTACACCTCTGTCACTGATGGCCAGGTGAGCACAGTTCCTTTAGAAGGATCTTCATTTCATGGCCCCATGACAGTGTTGGTACCACGACATTCAAGCACTCTTGAGTCTTAGAATTAGACACAGTGAATTAGGACAGTGAAATGGAGGAGGAGAAGGAGAGCATGTCACTTACTAGGGTCTTGAAGAAGCTCATAATGGGGCTACTATTCTCTGTGGTATCTACCACCTGGGGGTCCTCCTTCGCGGGCCCCAGTACCTCTGGGTCTCCAGGGATAGAATAACGCACGGTGTCAATTTCTTGTCCTCTCTCCTCGCTGTCGACTATGTCCTGGGAACAAAACAGAGTTTTCACAGTTGCAGCTCCTTGGATGTGGACTCTCTGAGTCTCCCTTTCATTCCGCACCCCTTTCTTCCTTATTCCTAATTCCAGCCATAGCTCTTCTGCCCACGGCCATGCAGGACAATTGGGAGCTTATGAGAGCCCTTCTCTCTTCCCCTCCCTCTCTTGCTAACATTCATCGCAGTTGGTAGGAGGGGACATTGTTTGGGGCCAGAGGGTACCAGACTGAGCGGCACACAGCACAGCCAAAACAAAATCCTTTTTCTCTCAAGTCTGCAAGGAGGTCGTCGGAGAAGCTGGAGAAGCCAAGGTTGTCTACCTTTAGGGTCTCCATGTCTGATGATCTGTATGTTAGGCCAGAGACGGCTCTGTGGGATTTCCCATAATCCCCAAATAGTCAAATCATGTCAACAACAACAACAATAGCAAGTCATTTCCCAATAATTGCTCAGCTTTGGGGTCAGGGGTTTGTTGGTTCCTGGGATGTGATTAGGAACCGACTTCCATCCTGGATCCATTTTCACCATGATGCTGAGCCAAGACACTGTCACCACTCCACTCCGTGACAGCCGTGACTCTTGCCCTGTTTACTTGTGTCCTGGCAGCCTCACTCACTCCACAGATTTATGCTTCACATCCTTCCAGCCTCCAGTGTCCTCCCATGGCTTTGGAGTCAGGCCCAGACTCTGACATGGGCCCCCTAGTGTCATTCTTGGTGTGCCTCTCTCTGATTCCTCTCTCTCTGTTCTTTCTGGCTGTTTTCCTTGAGTTTCTCAAACACAACACACCACACCACACCACACCACACCACACCACACCACACCACACCACACCACACCATACCACACATAATTTCCAATTTCATGGCTTCGGAATCTTCTGCCCCTCTGGGTTCCTGGAGGTCATTCTTATTTATCCTCCACATCTTCTTTTAGGATGTTTTAAAAATTAAGTGTGTGGTGTGTGTGTGTGTGTGTGTGTGTGTGTGTGTGTGTGTGTATGAATATGTACGGTGAGTGCAGTGTCCATGGAGGCCAGAAGAGGGTGTCAGACCTCCAAGAGCTGGAGTTCCGGTTGGTTGTGAACATACTGAGTTTGACTGCTAGGAGCCCAGCTAGGGTCTGCTGCGAGAGCGAATGAGCTGCTAAGGCTTAGCTATCTCCCCAGCCCTTCCCAGTCATACGTGTTTCCTCTTCCAAGGGCCCATCCCTTATCCCCGAAACTCCAGCAAAGCTCTCCTCCCGCATCGCTGCTCTTTCTACTTTTAATGCCCCAGCATCTTCACTAACTTCACGCCTCCCAGCCTCTGTCCTTACACCCGCCACAAGACCAGCACTCCATAAAGACAGAGACTGCATTTATTCTGCCTTTGCTGTTTCTTAAGGATGGAGGGCAGTGAGGCCACAGAAGGCCTGCGGCGACTCTGTACCGTATGGGTACTTAGTAGATGAATGGAGGGAGCAAACACTTCATATAGGGCCTGGAGAGAGTGATCGAGAAGGCTAGCCCACCTCGCAGGGACCTCGACTCAGTTCTCAGCACACACACCAGGTGTCTCACAACCACCCAAAACTCTAGTTCCAGGGGATCCAACCCCTCCTCGGTGGCACCTGTGAGCATGCAGTGTACACAAACATCACAGCATCACAGACACATTAACTAACTAACTAACTAACTAACTAACTAACTAACTAACTAACTAACTAACTAACTAACTGTCTTTTGAAAGCTTTGTAGGAAGATGAGGATGTCTGTCTAAACTTGCTTTTCTTACATAATAAGAGGGCAGAGTCAGTTCCCCATTACCAAGCCGACCCTGCCGCTCTGTGACATTTATTCTGTTTTCCCGGTGTGTTTATTCACACACACACACACACACACACACACACACACACACACCCATGTCTAATTTTTTTTTTTTCAGTCAAAGGGTCGGAGGATGTTTGAACTCCCAACGTGTTCTCCCCATCGCCAGTGCTGCCAGCTCCGTTGTCGGGGGGAGTGGGTGGAAGGGAGCCCCTTTGCTTCTGCGTGAGATTGCTCACACTGCCCAGGGTGGGAGCCTCCAGCAGGCCACAGGAGACTTGGCATCTCTATTTTGATCACTTCCTCTACAGTGGAGAAAACTGACAGATCAGATCAGATTTCGGGCTTTCGCTCTTGGTAGTTGCTGAAAGCCCAGGATGAACTGATGTGGTCAGAATGTCTCAAACCTGAAAAGCATTTTAGTTAGAGGGGTGGAATGATTTTGGATTTTTATGAGCTATTATAACTCAGACACGATTGCTGGTTATAATACATCATTATTCACTACAGATAATAGTAATAGGATGGTTAGTTTTTTTTTTTTTACATTTTAAAAAAGATCTATTTATATGTACTAGTGCTTTGCCTGCATGTATGCATGTGTACCACACGCCTGATGCCAAGGGAGGTTAGAAGAGAGAGTCAGACCCCCTGGGACTAGAGAGACAGACAGTTTGGAGTTGCCATGTGGGTGCAGGGAATCGAATCCTTTCCCTCAAGAAGTGCTCTTAAGCATTGGGCTATCTCTCCGGTCCCTCAGGGTTACTTTCTATGGTCAGTCTGACACAAACTAGAATCACTTGAGAAGAGGTGTCAAAAGAGCGGTTGTCTGGATCAGCGTGGTCTGTGGTCACGTCTGTGTGGATTAGCTTAGCAGCGGAAGGCCTGCCCGTTGTGGCTGTCACACTTTACAGTTGTTTGGACAATGACAGGGAGATGAGGTCACTGGCCCAAAGTCTCACTGATATCAAGACTCCACAGCCGCCGGGCATGGCGGTGCACACCTTTAATCCCAGCACTCAGAGAGGCAGAGGCAGTCAGATTTCTGTGAGATCGAGGCCAGCCTCGGTTACAAATCGAGTCCAGGACAGCCAAGACTACACAGAGAGACCCTGTCTCGAAAAACCAAAAAACAACCAAACCAAAAAACCATAACAGACCTTCACCACTATCAACTCAGCTTGACTGATGTCCCACAAGCAGTGAAATTCAACACTATGTAAACAAACCCCAGTGGGTGGAAAACCAATAGCTTCACAAGAGTGTCCATAAATGCATACCCAATTCTGAAATCCCCTGGCAACGTCCTCTACCTTAAACACTTAAGCATTACTCTTAGAATCTGTCTAAGCCACACCCCTTTTTTGAACACAGCTTCTTCATGCTTTAGATAGTCTCTCTGTTATCAGGACCTTCACAAATCTGCCATCTTGATCTCATAGGAACGGTCAAAAGCATTTTATAGGAGAGGAAAGCGAGGCCCAAGAGGCCTCATCATGTTTGAGGCCACACAATGACCAAATGTAACCAATAGTACTGGTTCATCTGTCTAGTATCCATGTCTCCTTGTGTCAAAAGGACCCAAAAAAATCCCTCCTGCATCCTGTTCCCATTTCTCTTCTGACACTTTTGTGTTTTAGTGTTTTCCCCTTACATTTCTCTATTGCAGCTTTAGAGGTCTTTTTGAAGTCCCTGGAACATGACTGGCAGGTTCCTGCCCCAGCTGCACATGAGCTCCTGCTTACAGGGAGCCTTCAAGTCTCTGCCAACTGTTACATTTTCACTGAACTCTTTTCTTGTCACCCTGCTTTAAACTGCTAGAATGATCCTGTATACCCTGTGTTCTAATTTCCTCATTTTTCTAGGACATTTTTGCTCTATCATTAGACCTTCCTTCCATCAGGGACTTGTAGTACTGATGTCTGGAGACAGTTTTGATTTTCATGATGGAAGGTCTGACTGGCATTGGGTAGGAAACACAGCCAGACATATTCTCCAATACACAGGATGGAGAATTTTTCAGCCTAGGCATCAAGCAGAAGCAAGGAGATGGAGAAAACCCTCACTGCATCAAAAATATTACTCATTCATTTCTTTGTGTTCTCTTTTACCCTAGAATAGGAAGGAAGCTTTGTTCTCCTTCTCCAGTGTCCATCACTTACACCTGGACTTGTGCCCACAGCAGATGCTCAAGAAGAATGGATGAATGAACAAATGAATGATTTGATCTGAACAAGACCAGCATCTGGCTGCATTCCAATATCACAACCTATTCATTGGGTTTCACCAAAATTAAAAGATCTCATCTTAGTTTTTTTTCCTGGAGCTGTGAGAAAACAGTCTAACAAAAGCAACTTAAGGGAGGCAGGGTTTCTTTTAGCTGACAGTTCCAGATCATAGCTTATCATGGCAGGGCAGCCAAGGAGTCTGAAGCAGAGGATCACATTACATATGAAGTCAGAAGAAGAGAGTAATGCATGCACACATACTGGAACTCACCTGGCTCATCTGCCTAGTTGTCACCCGAACTGGCCAGGTCCTCCCACTTAACTGACATAATCAAGGTAATTCCTATCAGACACGCCCAGAGGCTCATCTAAGCGATTCTAAATTTTGTTAAGCTAACAACAGTGTCATAGTTACTGTTCTATTGCTGTGAAGAAACACCATAACCACAGCAACTCATGTAAAAGAAAGCTTTTACTTGGGGCTTGCTTACAGTTTCAGAGGTTAGTCAGTATCATCATGGTGGGGAGCATGGCAGCGTGCAGGCAGACATGGTGTTGGAGAAGCAGCCTAGAGTTCTACAACCTGAACCACTGGCAGCAGAAAGAGAAAAGTAACTGGGCCCGGCATGGGCTTTTGAAACCTCAAAGCCTCCTTCCCCCCCCCCTCCCCGTGACACATACCCTCCAACAAGGTCACACTTAAGTTTTATAATCCTTTCAAACAGTTCCACACCCTGGTGAACAAGATTTCAGATATGTGCAATGATGAAGAGCATTCTTCTTCAAACCACCACAAATGCTATCCCAGTTCTGTCCTGTGAAATATCTAGAATCTATAAGAAACTCTTAACATGGTTCAGAGCACCGGCTGCTCTTCCGGACGACCTGGATTTGGTTCCCAGTATCCACATGATGGCTCATAACCATCCTTAACTCCAATTCTAGGGGATTCGA